AAAGAAAGAAAGAAAGAAAGAAAGAAAGAAAGAAAGAAAGAAAGAAAAAATAGCAGGCTATCACATCAGAGAGATAATTAAATCTTTTTTCCAATAGCTTCTCCTGAAATATGGCACAAAACACCTTGTAAGCAGTTTTGCAGCATCCCCAACTTTTAATGAATATATTTTATCATTTTCATTGCTGTTCCTCATGCTACTCTTTCTTTCAATTATATGACCATTCATTTCAAAATGTGGCAGAGTGACTTTTAATGAAGAAGCAAACATGTGGGAGGGATATAAATTGCTTACCCTTGATGAGAGGATTTAAAAAAACTTTTAAAAGAAATAATTAGGAACAATGCTCATTATATCTGTTTTAGGAGAATGCAGTATCAGTGCTCAAGGAACAGTCATTAAGCGCTGTAAGGACTGTTCTGAAATGTCATGGCTTTGGCAGGGAGGGAGGGAGGGAGGGAGGGAGGGAGGGAAGGAAGGAAGGAAGGAAGGAAGGAAGGAAGGAAGGAAGGAAGGAGATGATGAAGATAGAGGATGGATGGGTGGATAGATGGATGGATGGATGGATGGATGGATAAGATGACCAGGCTGAATCGGAGGGAGGGGTCAAATGTATCATCAGTCATGAATCCAGGGGTGAAATGCTCCCGGTTAGGACCGGATCGCCCGATCCGGTAGCGATGGCGGTGGGTGGTTCGGAGAACCGGTAGCAAAAATCCATGCCCACCCCACACCATGCCCAGCTGAGCCGCACAATCATCAGAGGCTTTTTTTTTAAAACTTTTAAAAGCATTTTTTTCTACAACCTCTTCCAATGAAAAAATGCTTTTAAAAGTAAAAAAAAAAAGCCTCTGATGATCGGCCGGCTCAGCTGGGATCATCAGAGGCTTTTCAAAGCATTTTTTTCTGCAACCTCTTGGCCGAAGAGGTGGTAAAAAAAATGCTTTGAAAAGTCTCTGACGATCCCAGCTGAGTTGCCTGATCGGCAGAGGCTTTTCAAAGCATTAGAAAAAATGCATTGAAAAGTTTTTTTAAAAAAAAGTTGGCCACGCCCACCCAGTCACATTACCCCACCACCGCCAAGCCATGCCCACAGAACCGGTAGTAACAAATTTTACATTTCACCCCTGCATGAATCTCTTCACACTCACAAGTTAGCTCCCACTAATTTCCTTTGGTCTTTAGTAGTTGAGATTCTTGTACAGAGCTTATGCTTACAATAAATCTTTATATGCATTTGAACTGCCTGGATCTCCTGATTTCCCTGGTGCGTGATGATAGATGATAGATAGATAGATAGATAGATAGATAGATAGATAGATAGATAGATAGATGATAGATAGATAGATAGATAGATAGATAGATAGATAGATAGATAGATAGATAGATAGATAGATAGATAGATAGAAACAATATAGAT